GAGAGAGAGAGAGAGAAGAATTTAATCTTGAAAACTTTTCTGTTTATGTTTAGCCTTGAACGTCAAAAACTCTACATTACTAGAATTCAATTAGAAAACATAATAATAGCAAAAACACTAAAAAAATCTAAAGAAAAGAGCTGTGAAACCTGATAAGCTGCTGCGTCACTCCTTGTAAATACATGTATCACTCTATACTGAATAAACACAAAATATTGTATTTAGCATCTTAAAATCTCCATTAGACTGGAAACTCTGATGATAAGTAAGGACACAAACCTAAGATCTAACCTAAAACAGTTTACTAAAGGTATATGTGAGTGACAGCACTCGCCTGATTCCATGGCAACATGAGGAATTCTTCTGAAAAGAGCCGTGACGAATCAGGACCTTGATTTTCCCTACTGTGGTTCAGTGGAGCAGGGGCGGAGAGCAAGGACACAGGCAAGGCTGTGGAGCACTATCCAAGCTAAACGAGAGGGACATTTAGGAACAGACTAATGGCATCTAATGTACTATGAAAGATCACTGTCATGAGGATCGAGATTGTTGAAAGTTAGATCAACAGCTTCAGTGCCATCTACACGAGGTTGGGCATATGTCATGTTTGCTGAAGTGTCAACATTGTTTTATTTATGTTAACATGAGTGAAGATTTACTCTTGAGTCTTATGGGCTTAGTTTTACTTTATCATAACCTGGGATACAGACTAGTTCTCTATTCTATATCTTCCTGACTACCCATAGTTCATTTTTGTCCTCTCTAGTGGACATTTCTTTACTAAAATATTTCCAACCAAAATAACCAACTCCCTCTGTGATTTAAAGAGGACATTCAGAGCTTTCAAATGATACCAAATTTATAAGGGTGGAGCTTTTAAAAGACCCTCCTCCTTTTCAAGAAAAATGGCTGCCATCAACACAACCACATTTTATGGAAAAAAGAACAGTAAGTGGTATACCTTTTTTATTAAGCAAATTTTGGATCAAAGTTGCATTGTATATTTTTATGAATGTCTAATGAACACATTAAAACCATTTTTAAAGTAAAGTAACAATATTTTACAATGAAATTTGAGTGTTTAACAAATGTCCTCCGAAGTGGACATTTGGAGTCATTAATTTATTTTTTTCCAATTTGAAGGAATTGGTTCTAGGTCAGAGGCAGAGAAAATATTACTACAAATTGTGGTAGAAAACTCAGATATTGAGTTGTCTGATGATGATGACCAGGATCCATTGTTTGAGGGAGAGGCTGAGAGCTCTGAGGATGAGGATGAGGTTGAGGAAGAAGAGTCAGTGTCCAGTCGCTGTCCGCTCTGGAGCAAGACTACAGTGTACATCTTGATCTTGTACTCTCTTAGTATTATGTATTTTACAATGTATTTTATATATTTAGTTCATTCAAATCATTTTGCAAAAAAAACTATTCAGAATAATTCAATTTTGTAATAGTTTACTATAACAATCTTTCACCTTTAAAAAGAAAAAACTGACATTTTTTATTGTTTTCCTTAAGATTTAACCCCCAACTGGATGATCTTCCAATTATTCTAAGCAGTGATGCCACAACATGCCAAAACTGGACCCCACTTTGTTATTTTGAACTGTACATTGATGACTCTGTGTTTGAAAAAATGGCTATGTGCACAAACCAACGTGAAGTCCTTCATTCTGGAACATCACTAAACACTACCCCTGGAGAGTTGAAGACTTTCTTTGGGTGCTCCATCTACATGGCCTGTTTGGGTTATCCAAACATTCAAATGTATTGGGCTTCAAAGACACTATGGAGCGCTACATCTTGCAAAAATGGTGGATGAACCACATGCATCAAGGTGTCGTAGATCTGGCTGTAACAGCAAAACCTATGTGATGTGCACTAAGTGCCAAGTCTTTCTGTGTGTTTCAAAAAAGGGGAATTGCTTCCTCAAATATCACACAAAGTAAACCAGAAAAAGTTCAAAGTGCAATGTTCCAAAATAAATGCACTACACATCTGTATTGAGGTTGTTGAGGGACATAAATCCTGAGTTCAGTTACTCTCTATGGAATTGAATTCTATGGAAATTGTTAAATTTGTACATCAATAAAGTTCTGATGTCCGCTATAGTGGACATGCTGTATTTTTCAAATAAAAACTTGAAAAAGAAAAAAAAAGTTTTCAGTATAGTCACTGTCTTCTAAATAACTGGGGAAACTAAAAAAAAATTAAATTGGAATACATTTTTTTCTCTGGTAGTCAAGTGTTTTTTTTGTTTTTTTTTAATATCCCTTCTAGGCAGCCATGTTTTGATGTTTTGACTTTTTTTTTTTTTTTGCTTTATATTAACCTTGGGATTTGTTGGCCTTACTGCCTCATGGTCCAAGTTAGTCCCTGTGTAGACTAGACTAAAAATTGTGTTGATTCCAACAAAATACATAAGTGATTTGATTTTGCATTACTGCAGTTTATAATCTGTTCAAAACAATGCCTACTGTACTGTTGGTCATTTAAACGGGGTCTTGGGTAATAGACCCACACGTTGATCAGATTAGCCATATTTAAAGGGCAGACAGACGACAGACCAAACAGCAGACAGCCCTGTGTGTAATCCACTGAGAGCAGCTCATACCCCCAACTTTAAGTTCAAATGGTGGATTATAAAGGTGACCCGGGTCCATGGAGAGTCCCCACTCCTCACTACAGAGAAAGCAGATCAGACCATATGAAGGCATGTCTGAGCTGGGCTCGTGGCATATGTGTCTCCAGTCTGAATCACTAAACAGATTACTTATGTAAACAGAGTTCATTAATAATTTTAGGTAGATCCTGAGCTGAGTGACTATTGGGAAAATTGTAAAATATATTGCCATTATCTGTCTTTTATTTGTCTTTTACTTTTGATTGATCCTTTTACATTTTGATTGATCGGGCATGTGGAGGATTATTAAAGAAGACCTTGAGATAGTGCAAGCTCTGCACCTCTCAAGGAAGAAATCAAACCTCATTGGTGTGAAGTGACAATGTTGGCCAAATGTGTCAACACAGTTGGTCCACACAGAACCAGGTAGACAATCCAAGAAGGTCCCATGTGACAACATGCTGCTAGCATCAATTAGAAGCCTGTTCCCAGTGCACACCGCCTCTGGAGGCTGTCTCCAGTTACATACTGTTGAATCAATAGAAGCTGATGCAACAGCTACAGTGAGCAGCAGTGATCAAACCATGTCACCATTAATCCAAGCTTCAAAAGCATCTTCAAAGTAATCACATGCAACAGTCTGTGTATAAGAATATGGGGACATGAGTTTGTTGATTGCTATTGTTATCTATTTTGCAGGGTGATGTAAAAGCTTTCTTTTCTTAAAATAATATGACACACAAATGTTCGAGTACCATCAGAAGGGAGTGGCAGCTCTTCCAAACATATGTTTGTGGAAAGCTGAACATTTCCCACTCAGTTTTAATTGAAGAAACATTTCTCAGGTACATCTCACACTAGCGCACATCTGAACAAGTAGATTATATGTGAGAGCTGGGTCAGCACGTATGCCAACTTCAAGTGTCTCAGATTAATGACAGCCTGTACAATGGGATTAGGATTAGGGACTGGACAATGTAGGTGATGATTAGGGCCCAGGAAGAAGACTATTGTCCTAATGACCTCAGGAAAAGCAAAAACTATTATCTTTTGTCTAGAATTACAAATAACCTGTTACAAAATGTATTTTTATTGTCTAACATTATGCTTAACATATGTTCTGCCATTAATTGCATAACCAACCTACTGGAGTGCCCTAATTTAATATGTTCTCAACCTGGTTTAGTCCTGGTCTAGTCCAGGTTTGGCTCCAGGGTTATATTGTTTCAATTTAGGCCTAAAACACATAAACTCTGTCTGACTTCATTTGGTGCCTGACTCTTGGAGCGTGTGCCAAGAGTATGTTTACCATATCTTTCTGAGCGTTCAAACCAAAGCTACCGCCTAAAATACCTGCAGGCCTGTGTGTAAAAACAATGATTCAGGAGTTAAGTACAACCTAGCAATTACCTCTCTCTGGTAGTGATTGCAATGAGATCTGCAGCTTCCTCATCTGGGCATGCCACCAGGGAGAATCTTACCTCATTTTACGTAGGAGCCTCAGGTAAACAGGTTAAATAAAGGTTGTTTGTTAAAAAAGGGGAGAGATTTATGTGTTATCTGCTCCATAACCTTTGCAGTAGGTGATGGAACAAGTGCAGGCTTGAGCCTCTAAAAGAAGGAACAAATTATGTAGTGTAAAAACAGATAACTGTTTTCAGTGAACCACTGATATCAACACAAAAATCTAAGTTCTGCAATCTGGGTCTCAAATAATCCATAATTTTTGCATTGGATGTCATATAGAGTTCACGCTCCAAGTGTTACAGTTTGAGGGAAATGTACCCAATTTTATTTTATTTTCATATATTTTTTAGAATGTGTAAAATCTGTAAAGAAAAAGTATGAAAAAATGGTTTACTTATAACAACATAGTCTGTAGTAGTGGTTAAAAATATATCTTGCCGAATGACTGCAATAAAGGTTCTAACTTTAGAAATAACAGAATTTTTTTGTATCATATTATTTTTATGCACTAAGTGTGTGTAGTATTTTAGCTAATATAATGGCTTGATAAGTACTATCTGGCAGTAACAGTACTATAGATAGAACTATAGTACTAATAAGTCGAAAAACAAATTCTAACTTCAGATATTTCTAATTTTCTCTTGTACCCTTTTTCATTTTATATGCTTCTTCCCCGTAGTAAAGTGAAACTTGATATTGTGTTGTTTACATAGTTGTCATGGCAACCAAGCCTGTAGTGTAAATCCCAAATGACTAATGAACAGTACGACGCTAATTAACCTGATATCTTAGCTAGTAAATTACTCAGGGCTCCTCCCTCCCTACAGGCATCACAGAGGAGGTGAGGAGGAAGAAATGCAAACAACATTTTAGTGCACTGATCACTTTTATTTGTGTCAAAATTGCATTGATGTATTGGAAATGTCAGTCACCTACTTTACAGAGTTGTCTGTGGGAATACAGTGAATGAGAAATAGAACGCTGTTGTCTTCTCCTGTCAATCATCTTATTATTATGCTGTATATTACTGAATCTAATTGTTGTCTATAAAAGAATACCTTGAGTCTGGCTAACCTTCGTCATAGCAACAAGGATACACTATTTAAGAATGAATCATGCACTCTGGCTGAGTAAAACACAACCAATAATTTCTTCTCCTTTTACAGATGTCTACAACAATTCTAAAGCATCTGAATAACTAATAAGAATGTTTTGTTAAATAATTGTGTGAGTTTTGGATCTTTCACGCTTCTTTTGGATTTTCTAAGCCTTGTTTGATTGTGCACCTTGTATAAACAGCGCTTAAGCCAAAACAAAGCACTGGAAACAAATGTTATTGTATTATGCCGAAGTTGCCTCCAGGGTCAACCATAAACTTGCAAGCATTAATATAAGAGCTTCATGTTTTATTGCGCTGTTCTGGAGATGGAAGCGGAGCCATCACTCAGATCTAATTGACATGATGAGGAGCTATTACTGTATTGATTCACCTGTGTAGTGGCACTAGATCAGCTGGGGCCAGTATTGACCTGCCTAAGTGGTTACACAGAGGGTCGCACTCATGTTAAGGGGAAATTACCAACTGTTTGCCGTGTAAGATCTCATTCACTTCCAACATGGACGTTAAGCTGCATTTGGGAGAAGTCAAATAAAGTTAAAGAGAAATAATTATGCTGTTTTATGTTTATTTGGGACTGAAGATGAATTGTGGGAGTTGTTCAAGGATTTTGCAAAGAACCATCACCTTTTTATGATGTCAGAAATTGGCAACAAAAAACAAAAAACTTTGATTTTAATTTGCTTTTTTCTGCTTTTTGCATCATCAGGTTCAAAGTGAATACATTAACAATGCATTATGTAACTGGTGGAGGGTCTGTCAAATGCTTTTCTCCATCATTGCTTTGTCTGGACTGTTTCACAGCATGGCATTAAACTTCTACCTTCAAGGAGACCAAACCAGACCAAGTTATGGGTCAGATCTGTGGACAGGCAACCCCGCTCACAGTTAGAATGTTTGTTTCTGCGAGTATCTTTGAAATGTAAAACCACCTGTAATTGAATATATGTAAGGTAGAGCTGTTTAATGTCATGCTGTGGAACATTCCAAGCAGAGTAGTGACATATCCATAGAAACAAGCAGGTGAAAGACCACCAACTAAAAAAGTGCTTCTTTAAAATGTCTTGTCTATTATGTAAACTGACTGATCCTATTCACCAGCGGGGTCACTAATGAGTCGCTCTCCGCTATCAAACAACAACTGCTCCACGGGAAAAATACTGCAGCCAGCGCTTTAAATGACACAATAGAGTATTTCCACTATAATTCAAATGCTGTCTTTTCCAATGTCAGGATAGTTACATAATTATAATTTAGTCAGTTATTGCCCCCAGAACAAAAGCTTAATGTTACTGGCATGTCAGCAACAAAGATAAAACATATCCATGACTCATATTACCCGTATCTCAGTGTGATCAAATGAATGGTGTGTGGGTAGTTAGACAGCACAGCAGAGTGACTTGACAATAAATTATCATAAAATAGATTTCTCAACTTTTTACATATTTCCCCAATACTGTACATTATAAAACATCTTAATTATAAAAACAATTAGTCTGCCATATGATTTTTTTTTCAATCCCAGCCAAAATGGTGGCCAGTCATCTCATAAAACTTCATATTGAACGGTCTGTAAAAGTCTCGTAGCTTCTGCACCACATCTGGGTGAATGTTGGGGTGAGTCCTGCCTTTGGTTTTGCCCAGACAGTGTGGTTTGCTGGTGCTCTCTGGTCTCTTCAGGCATGGAAATCCCTTCGCTGGGTTAAAGTGGAAGTACTTTTCATCCACAACCCTCTTCAGCCCTAAAAAGTCCTGTACCCGCGCCATTTCACCAGCAGGGTCACTAATGAGTCGCTCTCCACTAACAAACAACAACTGCTCCATGGGAAAATACTGCAGCCAGCGTTCCAGGTGCTTAGCGTACATCCCTATCTGCACAGCACTCCACGAGGTGTCTATTTGACCTGAGGACATGTTTTTAAAGGTGAGGCTCTCAAAAGATGGGATGTCCGGTTTCTTAGAGCGAGTTTGGGTGTAGTCTGAGATGGCGCGGGTGACAGGATCCCGGACCACCACAATGAGTTTAGTGTCTTTGGACATGTTGTAGATCCGAGAGGGGATGTCCTTGGTCACATAGTAGCTGGGGGTCTTCTCCATAGTGAGCTGGCCCTCCAATGACTTTGGCATCAAGTCTCTGAAAACAAAACAAAACATAGTCTTTAGTTATTACTGTTACATCAGTCAAAATGAAAGAAAACAAGCTCTATGAACATGGATATATTGTTGCTTGCTTTGGAATTTCCACAGTATGACATTAAACTTATTAAATTCAACATGATTTTATTGCTCAAAAGAACCGTGATTGTGAGTGGGGTCGCCACTTCACGGATCTAAGCTGTAACTTAGGCTGGTGACATCACTGTCACATCACCATAAATGCCACACTATGGAATATTCTTGGTAAAGTAAGAACAACTCTATGGAGGTAAGCAAGTGGCAGACCATCCACCAGAAAAGCTGTTTTTAAATACAACTTTGTAACATATTTTTAAAAAATGTTTCCCTCATCAAACTTCATAATTTCCCTCTAAAGTCCAAATTAAAATTTTTATAAACATAAACACAGAGAATACATTGAGTAAATCCCACAAAATCCCAATTATGTCTTTCTTAATCAAAATATCTATGAAATACCTTTAACACCATTTAGCACATTCTGGACACTGGAATGTCTCAATACTATGTGTGACATTTGACAGTGTTCAACCGTACCTAAAGTGACAGGCGCTGTAGACAGGAGCAGTCCCATCCATCACCTGCCGTCACATGTGAATACAAAATCTAAAGCACTCCAAATTCAAAGCCTGGAGGAACACATTTATCTCACAGACTCCCTGTTCAAAACAGGCAGAAAATCCACTCTCAATCAGGATATTCTACACACCCTTTATTACACAATACAAAACACAGGTTAGCGGTGAATAGGCAGCATAATGTATCTAAATGTCATGCCAAAACCTGTTAACCATTTTGTTGTCAGTCAAGATGCTAATATTTGGAGAACGTTCCTTTAAGATGCAGAAAGCTGTCTCTTGCTAGAAGTGCTTATTCTTTGAGACCCAGGGTGGCGGCGGTTGATCATTATAACTGCGGCACTGACTGGATAATGGCTATAGTAAGTCAGGGGGGATTAGGAGTAAGCCATAGGAGTATTATAGGGGCTGGGAGCATGCTTGGTTGGGGACTCTGAGCTGAGGATGGTGTGTCTCTGGAGACAAGAGAAAAGAGCAGAGGAGTCAATGCTGTGACAAGGAGAGTCAATGTTAATGTTGGATATATAGAAGATGTATAGCCATGTCTGTTAACTAGGCTTCATATAATCCAAACACATGCAGGGAAAGTTGTAAGCAGCAGTTTATATGCCCATATGTATTGTATATACAGCGAGGGGATTCAACTAGTAGATGGTGGTTCACTTTTGGACCATGGTTATAGGTCAGTTCCCAATTAAATTCATTGTAAAATATTTGTTAAAGTGTGTAGTAGTGACAGAGTGACATATCTGGCCAATATTTGCACTTTTTGGCATATCGGCCTTAAATCTCCAGCACAAAGAATACAAATGCCTAAAGAATACACATGCATATTTTTTTCACTTAAGTGTGAAGAGATACCAACAAAACATTACTACACAGCTCTCTCTTATAGGTGTATGGGAAAAAAGTCCTTTAGTAATTTTGTAGTAAATTTAAATCATAGAATTTGGGGAAAATAATCTGAATCTAGCCTACATATCAGCCCAAAAATATCGGCAGACCTGATAGACAATTGGTTTCTCTGGATTCTAAGCAATAAATATTGTATCGTTCCACAAAAAAACAAAAAACAAAAACATATCAGTCAATCTCTAGATAGCAGGTTCGTCATGATAGACAATATAACTCAGGCTCGCTATAAATTACACATAATGTCTCTATAAAAGAAACACCTCACATTGTAACAGATCTTAACTCTAATATTTATACAACCATAGACACAGACACAGACACAGACTGCTAAATACATTACATTTTGAAGGCTAGTTAATGTGACTTGATGTGAGAAGAATCAAATCTGTGGACCTATTGATGTGAGGGAACATTATTTTCTACTGTCTTTAAAATGTGTTTAATTCACCCATTTAGAAAAACATTATTTGCACTGATGAAGAAGATTGAGGAATTATCAATCTCTGACTCACTTGATGTGGAGCTGATGTGATGTTTTTCTTGCAATTGTAGTAAAAATCACAAAAGATGCATCAAAATAGTTGTATGTCCTTCAGTAGTTAAGAATTTAGATTTTTATTTATTTATTTTTTTTTGTGTGGGTTGTTTAAGTTCATGCATTTGGATCTTTTTAATGCCGATGTTGATGGATGAACTATAAGCACATGACATCACTTTTATGGCTTCCACTTCAAACTTTAACATCTGGAATTGACGTAGTGAAACTGTTAATCCTATTGTTATTACAAAATGTTTTATTTCAGTGGCTCACTGATACTGACATAAATCTAAGTTCAACAAATACCTGTTTAATCTATTGTATTAGACTGAGCCATCTGTTAGTACATGTACAAGGAGCTGCTAGTTTGTCTAACTGCAAGAGCTTTCATCTTAAATAAGAGCTGCACAGAGGAATTATGGGAAAAAGTGAGGGGAGGGGAGAAATATGCATCATCTGTTCTCATTACAGTCGCGGTGTGGGTTTAGTTATTATTATATTTCATCACCTGCTTTCACCTGCTCTTATGAGACCCTTAAGACTTCCTCCATCTCTTTTTTCTCAACCCCACAGAGACCAAATACATGGAAAAAAAACACAGCCACCATAGTCACACTGCACGAGACACAACTCTATCAAAAGCATCACCAATTATCTCGAACTACCTCAAACATGTGCAGCGCTGAGAGGGGTTTTCAGGCCACAGGGACATGTACAACAACTAGGAACCAATCAAACTTCGAAGTGGGTCCCAAAGCAAAATAATCTGAGTTTGAGAAGTAGATGTATTATTCATCTTTGTGGAGACACAGAACTGAATATTGAGCATGTGTGACAGAATGAGCGGAGGGAGCCATGCCTAAAGGAAGCACATGGAGCAGGCTTTCCAAATTTGTCCTGCTTAATACTCAAAATGTTGCCTGGAAACAGAAAGCTACATCAATCACTTATGAGAACAAAAAAGCAGCATATTGTTCATGGACTACAAGATTATAAATAAGGACTGTATGTATTTGGGAAAACTCAAAGGAAACATTATGCTAAGGTTTTTATGTATTTTATTCTTTACTATGTGATAATAGTGCTTTGGTGCTCAATGGATACAGTAGTTAGTCTATAATTAAAAGATTGAGAGTTTAGGTTTTGGCACTTAAGAAATAGGCCCATTGTACTATTGTACTCTTTGCTTTGTGCCTATACACCGTTCAATATGAAATCCAAAACAGTATTCATTGTAGTATAACTTTTTAAAATATAGTATAACTTTTCTTGTAGAGGGTCCACCACCTGCTTGACTCCATGCAGATGTAATTTTTTTTTTTTCCTGGACTGTTCTGATGGCATTTAATTTAATTTTATCTCCATGAAGACAAGCAGCCACATCACATCATCAGGTCATGTTTCAGGTGAGATCTGTGGAGAAGTGGGCCCGCTCACGGTAATAATGCATACTGTAGTGGTTTTGAGAAGGAAAAACTCCTCCATAAAACTCCTAAGTGAATAAATGCAAGATATACTTGTTTAACACCATACTGAAGGTTCGAGGCAAATCAATAACATCACCATGGATACAAGCAGATGGCTAACTCAACCATAAAAGTTACAGATTGCACTTTTAATTAACAACTGTTACACCCACAATGAGATCTGTACAAAATCAATAACACTGCATGGTACATGGTACTGAACTCTGCATCTGAAAACTATAAAAGTGATGCACTTAAAAGTTTCAAACAGTATGGAACGGCGGACATACCTCATCCCCTTTAATCTGTGCTGTGTAACTGTTTTGTCTGTGCACCAGTCAGGTGTGTCCATTAGGGATGGCTGCTGTGTTTACATTTGTTGCTATCAGGCAGTCGGCTCAAAGGCAGGAATTTGTGGCATTATAGATAAAACAGAACCTTACAAGGAGATTTGCTTAAGAGTATTGTGCTTGACAGTCTCTAATTAGCATCCATCTTCAGGAGCCTTCCTCCTGAAAAGCAGTGTTATCTAGTGTCATGATGACTTATAATCTCAAGGTGGTCAACGGCAGCTAGGACGCTGTGGGAATCCAGGATGAGAGGTGATGGTATGTGGCCACTTGGACTAATCAAACCAAACAAAAAAATCAAAGCCCAAATGCACTTTGCAAATGTGTCCTGTCTTTTTAGAGCTAATCTTATCCTGTGTTCAAATGCTGTCGCTATCTTCAAAACAACAATGCGGCTGTTGGGCATACCAGAGATAGAGCGTTTTTCAGCAGATTGAGAGAACAGACATTGTGCTGAGTCCAAGGCCACCTGGCTGCCGGATGGTCCAGTTTAAAGATGGCGGAGGAGGATGAGCGAGGCATGACTTCCTTCACACAACTGCCAGCCCTACATTAACACATAACAGCTCTGACAGCCTGCTGTTTATGGAGGCAAGGAGAACTTTGTATAAGTCTGCTCAAGTGAGACCCTTCTACATCTCAAATTCAGGGGGAGTTTGTAATTACCACTTTTTAGAGGTGTAACGATATCCAAGTCTCATGATATGATATCGTCAAGGTACGAACCTCACAGTACGATATTTATTGTAATATTGTGGAAAAGCTCACGGTATGGTGGAGAGGCTCACGATTAGGGATGTAATACAATATCCAAATCTTGGTACAATATTTTCACAATATACATCTCACGGTACAATGTTTATTGCAATATTTTGTTGAGGCTAAAACTGTTATACGCTACTGTTTCCACTTAAAATGCCTTGACAAGACTTAATCCAAAGACCTAAGACTTAAAAGTGCTTAGAACAGCTGTTTCTACACTGAAATGGAGCACAGGATCATGGTCTATGTAGTTCCCTCTGTCTTTTTTTTTTAGCTATTGCTGCAGCATAAATCTTAAGTTAAGCAAAGAGACTTGTAATTCGATATATTGTGATGGTCCATGATATTAT